ACAAATGAAGATTATGAATCCATTAATTTTAGTATACAATAGAGCCAGTAAAAGCACTTTGAAGATAAGGTGTACCGTTATTTGGTTATATATGGAGATACCGAATTGCAAATAAACATTCCTTAATCAAGAATTCGTCTTCTACTGTTTCAGTTTTTCATAAGTAAACTGTTGACTGGGTCTTTCTTGTTCATAAATTGATGGCAAGTGCCAATTAAGGTGATTTAAAATCTCTCTTATTCATATTTAGACGAAAGAATTAAATCCTCTAAGTGAGGAAAATACGTTTAGGCAGTGACCATTAGTCTCTAAATGACTAACCTGACGATATTTGTCACAGAACTTTAGACCAAGAGATAAACTTTTCGGTTTTACCTTATCTATGTATAGAGAAGGAAAGTTAACAATCTACCAGTTATAGTCAGTTAGAAAACTAACTTCCAATCGTTTGTGTATATCTAGTTCTTTAGTTATTTTTTGAAGCTGAATCTGACAAAATATTCCACTTCCTCGACGTCCATCTGGCAAGAAACGCCAGCAACTCTCTGAAAAAAGGTCCATATACAAAAAGCCTACATGGAATGGACAATTCATAAACTTTCTAAGCTTCGCACCCCTACGCAGAAAGAGGAGCCTGATATACGCTCTTTTTTCAAGGATTCGAAAGATATGCAGCGAGGAAGTGATTGGCAAAAAACTGCGTATTCTCCAAGGAATCCTGATGGAAAACGGTTTTCCGCCCAGGTTCACAGACGAGAATCTCAAATCAAAGAAGACTTCTGAACAAGTCTAATTCGTTCCGAAGAAGATACTTTTTCTTAATCTAGAATTCAAAGGTGATATTGAAGCAGAAATCCTTCTTAAACGCCTCTGCAAATTTCTGAGGAAAACATACTTCGCTTTCCTGCAAGAAACTTTTCAGCCAGAACGCAAAAGACAAGCTGTCACAATGGGCAACTTCAACGTGCATATATCAGTTTACTCGGTCTTGCGGAGCTGAGTACATCGGCTGTACCATGCGTCAACTTGAAAAAAAAAACATAGACTGGATAGTAAAAGGAGAACAAAAACGTGTGTAAATAGTTCAGTGACAGAACATCTGATCAATTCAGGACATTCAACGCCATTCGAAAAATCCTTCAAAATCATATACATGATTCAATCAAATCTGCCAGAGAGAGAGAGAGTAAAATCAATACATCTGGGCATAGCCGAGGCACTAGCTATCCAAAAGTTCAAACCTACGCAATATATTCAAAAGAAATATGTCCAACCCTTATCCCCCTGCCATGGACACCGTAAACAGGTAATTCTTCTAATAATGACTAACCCAATTGCATATCTTATCTAAACTTTCCGTTTATTCATGTTATTTTTAAGTTTTTCTTAATCCCTCCACTATTTGCACTACCATATTTTCATATCTGAACTTCCTGTCTATTTCTTCATTCTATTATTTCTACATATTTAATCCCTAATTGCATAAAAAGTTATTCGTCACATTAGTTATGATCCCACTAGATTTTGTTATCTAAACATCCTGTCTACTGTTGTTATTTCTACATTTCTAGCCCCCAATTGCACAATATTTCAATCTTCTCAGTAATTAAAGATGCTACTTGGTTTGAGTTTTATCTGTCCCTCCTGTTTATTATGGCATTTTAATTTCTAATTGTAATTTTTTAATTTGACCCTTGACCAGAAATTATTCTGGAACTTTCCCACCTATTTATTATATTTAAACGAATGTACAGCCTAGTTAATGACTTCGTTGAAACGAAAATTTTCTTCGCTGAAACGTCTTTTTATTATTCCCCAGGATCAAATGTGTATATTCCGTTATTTTATATTCGTTTCTCGCTTCTTCTAGTTCGCATTACTTCATTAGCATAGGCAATAAATTAATCCTTCAAAGTCAGTTGCATAAAGTCTTTGAGAAACTATATATGTGAATACAAATCATAAATGTGTGAATAAAACAATTCCAACAGTGGTGTGAACACGGGCAGTAATTTTGCTCGAAATATTACCAATAAAAAAACTTATCATTGTGTGTAAACTATTCAAATATAATTATACTTTATTTAATCTAATCCACAATGCTCAAACTTTTTACTGATATTAATCTTTGAGAAACATTTATCCCTAGTTCTGATATATATTTCCGAAGGGCTAATTCTTAGGGATTTGACTTGTTTCGAATCTGTCCAGGGATTGATATCAGTTAGAGAACTCTTCAGCAACACGCACCCAATACAGGTGACTAGAATCCAGAACCTTCTTTTTACAAGTCAAGCTCATAGACCATTAAACCACTGAGAGAGAGAGAGAGTCAGCTCAATGACCCATGAATTCCAACTTAAAATCATCAACTGGTAGAAGCTGGAATTCATAGGCCATTAATTCGAGTCCAGTAGCTGAATGGTCTACGAGCTTGTCTTGTAACTAGAAGGTTCTGTGTTTGAACCACAGTGAGTTCTAAACTGGGACAAAACAGCTAGCCATCCAGTACTCCTTGATTCTAAATGATTCTCCAACTCCGAATATATGATCATTCGAAGGGATTGGATTGAATTAAGAGATAGAATCGTTTTAACAACTTTTCATTCAATTGTGTTATGCATCGACGAAATGATTTTGAATATAATTTAGGACATCAGTTATTTATGATACAATTTCTTAGAGGGTCTAGCAATATACTTCAGGCAACCAGTAAATGCCTTCAGTACTACAAGATGCTCACAAGATTTCAGTAATTTAGTCAAGAATAATTAGACAGAGCAATCGTTTTCAATAAATTCCTTTTCAGGCTGAACAATTAAAATTCCATTAGTTTTAAATACAGTAACTCTTAAAGAATGTTTGGGTTCCAGTGGCTCAATGGTCTACGAGCTCGCCTTGTAACCAGAAGGTCCTGGGTTCGAATCCCGGTGGGCGCGTACTGCTGGAGAGCCCCAAACTAAGACGAAACAGCTGTCCAGTACTCCCAGGTTTTGTGCGTCGGTGGTTAGGACGCTCGCCGACCATGCACATGGTCCGGGGTTCGATCCCCGGCCGACGCACGCCTTTACCTCTCTAAGACAGAAATAATTCTGGTAAAGAGGAAAGGTTGGGCATGAGGCTGGCAACCCCATCCTGTAAAATAAACTCTGCTACAGAAACTTCAAGCTGCTAACTTGAAGCCCTATGTTCCATTGGGGAACGTGAAGGAAAAATTATTATTATTATAAAGAATGTTACAATTCAAACTAGTCTTTCTTGATTTCTGCTGGCGGCTTAGCAGTAGAATACTAGGTAGCCAAGCTTTAGTTGGTCTAGAATTTGATCCCCTGACAATGCATTCCTAAATCTCACCGCCTAGCCGGTAGTAAGCCCGGTAAAGAGGGAAGTTTGAGAGTGAAGTTCGCAACCATTCTGTGCAAAAACAACACCACTGCTAGAGACGTTCTAAAGCTGAGGCTTGAAGTTTTATGTCCTACTGAGAAGGCAAACGAATAAAAAGCATCCTAATTTACCGGCCATTGTAGGTTTAATAATTAATGAACCAATAATTTTCAAGTATGGGTTTTGTAGGGATTTTGTTTGATTCGATGAAGGATTTCATTATGAGCTGACATCAGTTAGAGAACCACTGGAAAACCAACTGGAAGTATTGGACATCTAGCTCTGTAGTCCTAGTTTGGGATCCAATGGGTGCGCACTATGAAGAGTCCAAAACTAGGACTACACAGCTAGCTGTCCAGTACTCCCAGGTTTTCCACTGGTTCTCTAACTGATGTCAGCTCATGACGAAATCCTCCATCGAATTTGTAATTGTAGAAATCCTGAAAAGAATTTTTTTTCAAGACCATAATTGTTCGCTCTAATTATTTGATTTATTTTTGAATAAGTTATGGGAATCATCCAAACGAATGAAAAGGAGACTGAATCTTTGAGAAATAAGGCGACTGTGGACAGTTAATTTGTTCCAGGTTGGGACTGTTCAAGCAATAGAAAGAAACAGTTGCCCTGATCTTTATTAATTCCATAAGTGATATTATTTTGCGTCGGTGGCACAGTGGTTAGGACTCTCGCCGACCATGCACATGGTCCGGGGTTCGAGCCCACGCCGGTGCACACCTGATATCTATGGTAGGCCTGCAAAATTTGGGCTACCGATATCCATGCTGAAAATTCCATACTTGTACCAAAAATACAGTGTGGAATCAAGCTGTAAATTAAAAATAAAAATAAATAAAAAAATAAATTGCGTTGAAGCCCATTTAAAGCTATCTAGCTAGCTAACTTACTAATTGACAGAAGTTACAGTCTACCTCAGATCAGTGAAACATTGTAGACTAAAGTATTTTCTCTAGAAGTTCATTGGTGAATGGTAACTAGCAGTGGAATCCAGTCAGGATGCGCATTTCGTCCTATTTGGGACTCGTCAGCTGGATGTGCCTACATTCATTCCACAGTGAGTGATGATTTTCCCACCGAGGCTTGAACTCAGTGCCCATAGTTTCAAAATTGAATTAAAGTATTTTCTCTCTTTCTCATTATATCTTTGGCTTATATCACGTTGAAAATTGTCAAAACAAATAATAATAAAATTGCCGTCAAAAAAATTTATATGGACTGATATTAGTTAAGGGAGGATTAAAAACCAGCACTGGAGTGCTTGCTGGACAGCCAATTGTTTTGGTCCTCATCTGAGACTTTTGAGCAATACATATCCACTAGGATTTGGGTCACAAGACAAGCTGGTAGTCACGCCAGAATCACAAAATGGTAGAAGTTAAAAATTCATGGAACATAGAGCCAGGTCTCAGTGGTTGATGAATGGCCTACGAGTTTGTCTTGTAACTCGAAAGTCCTAGGTTCGAACCCCGGTGGATGCCTATTGATTTTCAACAATTCTCTAACTGATATTAATCCATAGTTAAACTTGAATAGCAAATTATTTCCCAGCAAAGAAACAATTAAAAATTGTAAACACAAGCGTTCACAACACAACTTACCTCAAAATTAGTAGATTTCTTTTGGTTTGACACTTTTGTTTCTGGTAATTCATCACTAACACTAGCTGTATCCGTAGACGAAGATGACGAATATCTTCTCAATGCTTCCATTTGATTTTAATTTCTCAACTGTAAATAACGAAAATGTAAGAAGTAGAACTTTCACTGCATACTGTGTTAATATAATGCTACAAAAACTATTTTTCATTCATTTACCTACCCCTTGGAATACTGGTCTTCAAGCTAGAGCTTAGAAGTTTCGGTAACAATGGTTCGCTATTCTTACGGTGTAACAACAGAAGACAAGGGCCAGGCAACAGATCGTTTTATTATGAAAATCAACACGTATTTATACATCTTTCAACTACATTATTATAGACAAGCGCAGTCATCTGATTGGTTGTTTAGGTAGACAAACGCAGGCTTCTGATTGGTTGTTTCGGGATTCCTTGACAAATAGAGTTCTCTCTGCGAATCATATTTTGCCACGTTCACTTTGCTGTGATTGGTTGTTGACTCAGGCTTGTTCATATTTTCTCACGGCCCATATTAGTGACCTAGACCTTAACGTAGATTAGTGCCAACCAATCGGCTAGCAGCCTGCTCTCACCACACTCGTCCCCCCGTCAAATACGTGCGACTGAAGTCGGCTTGATCTACTTGGTGCAGGCGTCATCGTTGGCTTGTCTCGCTGTATCCATTTCTGGAGCTCGCTGACGTTCACGCGCCTCTTATTGTTTGCCATTGCGACTGTGTCTGCGTAACCCCATCTCGAAGTGACCATATATGGTCCTTCCCACTTTGGAAACTGTTTGCCTGACCCTGCCGAACATTCGTCCATACTTCGGCCCACACCTTCATATGCTGCTTTCGCCCGACCTCCCAGCAGCGTCTCAAGTAGCAGCTCCATCGCTGACAGATCTTGAACGCCACTCAACTGCGCAGAAGCCTTGAAGTCCTGCCCGAAGATCCATATGTCTCCATCAAAAACTGCATGGTATAGGCTTTTCATTTGTCGGTAGGCAGCGACACCAAATGTAACAACAGAAGACAAGGGCCAGGCAACAGATCGTTTTATTATGAAAATCAACACGTATTTATACATCTTTCAACTACATTATTATAGACAAGCGCAGTCATCTGATTGGTTGTTTAGGTAGACAAACGCAGGCTTCTGATTGGTTGTTTCGGGATTCCTTGACAAATAGAGTTCTCTCTGCGAATCATATTTTGCCACGTTCACTTTGCTGTGATTGGTTGTTGACTCAGGCTTGTTCATATTTTCTCACGGCCCATATTAGTGACCTAGACCTTAACGTAGATTAGTGCCAACCAATCGGCTAGCAGCCTGCTCTCACCACAACGGGACGTGGTTGCTAGCCTCACCTGGCCAAACCTTCCCTCTTTACCAATCTTATTACTGGCTTACCGAGGTAACGGAGTGCCTTGTCGGCTGAGGAGCGAAACCACCGAACCACCTGCGTGGTTGGCGAGCATTCTACTAATGTCCCACCGATGCTCGTTTAAATTAAATCAATAACAATTGTCCTCCGACAAAGCAATCCATTATCGCCACTTCTTTTAGTATTTTTACAAATATGTAAAGGTAAAGTGTACAGCAATACCAAGACACTTTTGGGGAATAATTCAGAAGAACAAAGTTAGCATAAAAAATCTTCAAAATTTAATTATCATTATGAAGATAATATTATAAGGGATAAAACTGGGATTTTTAAGATTGATGTTTATTCATTATTATTCCCTTGGGTACCAAGTGAAATATACGGCTTCAACAACACATTTCCACCTTCTTCTATTTTCCGCTGTCTCCATCAGCTGGCTAGCCACACTACTGCATAGAATCTCTCACCTCCTCCTCCTCCTCCTCAACACACGATCTCCCCCATATCGTCCTTGCACCGACGACTCACTCGTCACTTTCTATTCGGATTGCATTCAAGCGATGTTCTGCTCTCCGCGCGACTTCATGTTATGGCCTCCTACTCATTGCAAACCCGATCCTCCTATTTATTTGTTGAGCCATCGGCTCTTGCCTGTTGGTTGATTCTCAGACACAGTTTCTTGTTGCTATTTCTATCTTTATGGCTACTTGATCTTCACTAAGGTGCCAGCGAAGGTGGAAGCTGTTGATAAAAGTTTGTGGTAGGCTGTTGAAAGTGTCTACTGTGAAACGCAGTGCAAGCTTCTGACCCGTATAGAAGCATTGACCAACTAACTGACTTGACATTAGGGTTGAAAATTCAAATCTTGTTCTTTATACTGAGGCGGATTGTAAAAGGTTGCCCAGCTGATTTCCGAGTGATGAAGGTGTATCTTGACGTAATCATGGAGTCATTTAAAAAGACTTCAGAGAACTGGATGAAATGGAAACGTTCGACTGAAGCTCTACGTTTCATTCAGAACCCAAGGGAATAGTAATAATGAGGATAATATACATGAAATTTCTACCAGAAACATTCCTAGATGTTATTTAAATTTCTTCAAACCTTTAAAAATTCTTTAAAGGTGTCAGCTTTTGGAAATAAAGTCATCCAGTGAAGATAATTTTCTATAAATTAGCACTAAGAATTTTAGTTTAGAAAGACAACAATTGGTGCTCTCAATGAGGGGGAGCACAGCGGTTAGGACACTCGCCGACCATGTACATGGTCCAGGGTTCGTTCCCCCTCCGGCACATACATGATATCAATGATCGACCTGGGCTATCGATATCACATGCTGAAAATTCCATAATTGTACCAAAAATACTATGTGGCTCCAAGCTATAATCAAATTAAAAAATAATTTAAAAAAATAAATGCTAACTGCATAGCTGTGAACTATTACAATGTCAGGATGTGCTTATCACCTTGAGGAATAAACGTCAAATGTTAGTATGAGTTAGTAAAATCTCACTTTTTTCAAGGAATTCTCAATAAAAAAAATACTCCCAGAAATCCTTGGACTTAGGTTCCATGCTTATTGCTGGCACTCGTCAACAAGACACATCCTCAGGCTCGAAGGAGCTTGGTTCCTTTCTGAGACTCAAAACTAAGTCAGTAAAAGGTGATCATAATACTTTCAGTTGAGTGAATGATATTGGACATGTTAATATTGACATGTTACCTACAAGTACTTCGAATATTTCGACACATGTCTCCGGGTGGTTATGAGTGAAACATAAGGCTTCATATTTGAAGCCATGGTATACTTTTTATGTAGGGGAGTTACCAGCTTCACATGTGCAACCTTCTCTCCTTCCCATATATACTATCGGCTAGCAACCCAGACAAGATCTAGGAGACAAATAGCCAGGAATTGCATCACTAACCACTTGAGGCATGGTTAGCTAGCATTCTTTCACTGGAACACCGAATATTCTCAAAATTATTCTGATGTTATTCGGTTGACAGGGGCTCCTAGAATTTCACGACTCCTGAGTTCGTCTCTTAGTTACCATCAAAAAATTCTAACATAATTTTAATGTAAGGCTGTGTTATGATCAAATAATGGGGAACACAGGTAATTTTATTTAACACATAGAATGTAAGTGTGGATGACAGGAAATATTATCATCCCTGAGTAATTATTGAAATTTGCAAAACTACTGATAAGTCATTTTATCTATATGGTAAGAGACTTAGAATGCGGGTCACAAGAAGCATTTCCAACATGCATCTTCAGATTTTCATCAACAGTTGCCACCTTCACTGGCCCCATAATTAAAACCAGATGATCAGGAAGATTTGGTGACAAGAAACTCTGGAACGAGCCTACGAAGAACCTACTTCTCAACAAATATGTCGAAGGATATTGAGATGAACTGGACACACGCTTCGGAGATGGCCAGATGAAATCACTTGCCAGGTCATTGCTTGATTGAAATCCAAATAGGAGGAGTTTGTGTCAGCAAGAAAGGAGATAAGAGCTTATGGGCAGCCGTGGAACTAGTCAAAGAGGAATGTACAGAACAGAATAAAATAAAGATGTCCCCATTTTTAGCCGTATTTCAAGGGAATAATCATACATTAATCATAACACATAGTTATTCAGTAGTCCCGTAGGGAGGAATTCTAATCAATCCTTGTAACCCTTCTCTTCTCCCCTATATTTTTGCTTCTTATAGCGTAACTAGTTGAATTATTGCAGTTCGGTTCAAAGTTCTAAGCTGAGAATTTAGTTCAGTTTAAGACTCGTGGAAAGCAGTGGAATCCAGGACGCGCATTTCGTCATATTAAGGACTCGTCATCTAGATGTATCTGTATCCCACAGTAAGTGATGATGTTCTCACTGTGGCTCGAACCCAATGACCATAGTTTCAAAAATATCAAAGCGTTATCCACTAGACCACTTGGACCACGAGTGCCAGCCATCTATTGTGCAATGGGTCATATTAATTATCTAATTCAGCTTTAGATTTTTCCATCGTTTGATTGGACCGAAGTGCTCGGTCTCTAGGTTGACATGTCGGCAGAGTTGTGTGTCTTTATTATTAAATAAAGCAAGTTTGTAAAACATTGTATTCCATCTCGAATTTCTTACAATTCTCCTGTCTACTAATCTCATAATAATAATAATAATGGTTTTATCAATAATAAGGATGAAAAAGTGAGGCAATCTGCGATGACACGAGTAATGAAAAAGCAACATGATTAAACAAACAATTGTTCAGGTAGACACAATAGTCGATAAAGGCTAAGAAAAACAAATGGACCGATTAAGTATTGCTAGACTGATTGTAAGGAAAGTGAATGAAACACATTTTTAATGAAGATGTAATAAGATTAAGGGGTGATAAGAAAAGCGTTGAAAATATAAACAAGGGGTGATGTAGAAGTCATCAGTTGGTTATGTCTTAATAGGCCAACAAGGTAGGGATAATGGCTATACGAACTTCTTTTGAATGCATAATTTAGGTTTAATAGTTCAAATGCCTATCGCCTGTCTCAGCTGCGTGCAGTAGATGAATACGAAGTCTATTAGAAAGATTCGGTGGGATAGTATGAATTACTTTGGAAGCTCTCTTTTTCTCCACTACATGACCACTATCAATTAAATGTGACAGAATTGAGCTACGAATTGTTTTTGTCTGTCCTTTGCTAAACCACCATGATGGTAGATGTTCACCAACACGTTGGCTGGCTAAGCTGTCTAGTAGTACGCCCAACATAACTGTCACCGCAGGTGCAGTTGAATTGATAAATTTACATAGATGTGGCGAAACTATCAAGCTTATCCTTCGTTTGCGTCCCAATCATTCGTCGGCTGGAGAATGACAAACATAGGTATTCTGCGTAAAATGTTAGTCGTATACTCCTTGAAAGTCTCTGGAATAGAATCTCACTTGATAAGTCACCGTTAAATTTCAACTTAATAAATAGAGGTATTTTACATGAAGTCTTAGTCTCAGGTTTTCTCTCTGATATTTTCATATGTTTCTTTATGAAACCACTTAAATAGCCGATCTCCGTCAAGGAATCGTGAATATATTCAAATTCCTTTTGTAAGATGTCATCCGTACATATCTTTCTTGCTCTACTCACAAGACATTTAACAACATTTCTTTTACATTTAATGGGCGCGTAAGTGAGGAAATGTGTGTGTATGCCCTGTGAATGTGCTTTTTCTACACACGCTTCTCCCAAGTGACCCATCTTCTCGCCCACTTAGCAAGACGTCCAGAAAATGTAGTTTATTCTCCTGCTCCTCTTCACAAGTAACATTAAACGAAGGGTGGATATTGCTGAATTTAGCTGAATGAAATCTCATATTTAATAAGTCATTTAAATTTATTGGCGATTGAAAGTTTTAAACCGAATACATATCAGATGATAGGAAATATTGAAAACTCAATATACAGCGAAGAGAATGTTTTCAACGAATTTATTATCATTTGTAAAAAATTATATTTGTAAGATCTCAGTGATATTGAAATGAGTAATTCCAACGTTTCGTTCGGCAATCTGGTCCGAACTTCTTCAGGGAAATTAATCGAAATTAACATAACAGGTTTATATATAAAAGGAACATCTTTAGTTTTTAAAAACTTTGTCCAATCATGATTTATAAAACAAATATTAACAAGTATAATAAACAAAATTGCACGAGTTTTGATCAAAATTTGACCTCAGACTTACAAATATTGATCTACCTTTGTTAAACACTTTAAACACAGTGTGTATGTGTGTGTGTGTGTGCGGATAAACAGTTGTAAAACAATATCTTAACGTCTCCATAAGTAGATATAGACAGTCGGGAAGCTTTGACCAAGTATTATTATTAGTTAGTGATA